TGTGTGTGTGTGTGTGTGTGTGTGTGTGTGTATTAATATATATATTGCTTTCAATTGTGTGTGTAAATTAGATGCTATTATTTGCTATGCACAGCAGACCTTTATTTTGACGGGACAAAATCTAGAGTCTAGGTTTCTACATGTATCTTGTTTTCATATATTTACTAATCATATAACACACCTTAGCGTGAGTCCAATCAGTCAGTCAGACTTGTTTTATGTTTTTAAGCCCATTCATCTCCTATACTATAAGACTACTGTTGTCTAAATGTGGATATCGAGAGGCTCCATTAAAATATTAAATCAATACCCAACAACAATAATGATGAATACTTTCTATGTTAAAGAAACACCAAATCATATCAGATGAGGGGAGGGGGGTAAGGTGGGTGGAAAAGAGTTTGAGTCTAGTTTGATAGAACTATACTCGGTTTCGATCTAAATCTATTGCTGTAGTCTTCACCTAAGATCCCACACTTTAAAATTCCAGTTCACTTAAGATTTTGCTGTTAAAAAATAAACCAAACAAAGCAACAATAAATTTTACTGCACTAGCCATCCCTAAGATAAATTATCCCTCTTTGAAGTGTGAAGGAACTAAAAACGCTGCTTTCCCTTTCGTACTTTACTGGAAAGAAAAAAACAACCTTCAAAGGTCATCCATGCTCATGCATGGGATCCTATGATGGGAATCACATCTCCGCTCTAAATCTCGATGCGAGGTACACGTTTGCTCTAGTCGCAAGGATTTTACGACAAGGAATCACGCCCAGATGTGAACTCCTCATCGACGCCTTTGATTTTGCCGAACATCGAACTCGAAATAAGAGCCTATCCCCTGAGCTTACAGCCAAGGCATGATTCGTTAGGTAGAGCCAACAAGGCCGCTCATATTTATGTCTAGAATTATGCAGTCACATCTTAAATTCAGTTTAAGAAATACATTTTTCACCATTTCTTACTATGATTAAATCTTTTAGTGTCATGAAAGATTATCTTTATAATTTTGTATTTTTCATAATTTTATGATACTTGGATAAGTTTTCTTCTTATATTGCCGATCTTCTTAATTTTTAAACTATCTATATACAGTAACATAAAACTCTTAGATAATTGAACAGTCCCTAGGCTTTCTCAGTTTCATAGAACAGTCCCTTGATTATCCTTGACTTTCTCCCTGCCATTCTATCCGTCATCCCGTCAGTTGATCACAATCTCTCTCTCTCTCTCTCTCTCTCTCTCTCTCTCTCTCTCTCTCTCTCTCTCTCTCTCTTTCATACACACACACACACACACACACACACACACACACACACACACACACACACACTCTCTCTCTCTCCCTCTCTCTCCCTCTCTCTCCCTCTCTCTCTCTATCTCTCTCGATCTCTCTCTCTCTCTCTCTCTCTTTAATTCGATTTTTCCCATTCTCCTTCGTCCCTTCCAAGGCACGCCCCTCCTCTTTCATCCCAGCCCCATCCCCTCTTTCTTGCGTGCATTCCCCCACCCACCCACCCCTACAATGTGGCCCAGCCCGATAAGATTCTATAAAAAGAAACACCCCAGTTCGGGATTTAGACCACAGTCGACAGCCATATTTGCTCCCCACCTCGGCGTGCCGATCGTGGCGCCGCGAAGAGAGAAAGGAGGCTCCATTAGTTCTAATGTCCTTGGATGCCGCCCACAGAGCATCCTCCATTCCCTTGCCACTGACCAATCTCTGTGCCTCTGGCAGTCTGGCGGGGTGGCAGGGAGGCAACTCTGGTGAAATTTCCCAAGATCCAGTGTCAGAGCCAGGGGACCCAGTGAACGAATTCAACGCAAACCACTCCCAGAAACAGCGCTATAAATTAAATGATACTTGATTGAATAAGTCACACATTTGAAGGTAAGACTTGTTTTTATTCTACTTGATATAGAATCGTGATTCTTTGAAAATTGCCTTCCCGTTCCATCGGTAGCCATTTTGAAACTGTTAACCCACTGGTGGGTGATCTTGTACTGTACTGTAGTTGTTGTTCCGTTCGATCCATTTGTTTACATCAGAGAAGAAATCCATAAGTCTTGATGACCAAATAGGCGGTGCTTTTTCGGTAGTTCCCACCCCCCTTATTTGAGCCTGACCTACATCTAGATCTAGATTTATACGTTTGATTCGCGGTGAGCTAAGATATCAAACCTAACAACTGCAAAACATTAAATATGGTAAAATTCGTTTTTATTAGGTCAGGGGGGCAAGCCTCCCTGAAACCCCCCTACTCTTGTGGCCCAAACCCATGAATAAAATTGCGGGGTGGGAACTACCAAAAAAGCGCCAAATAGGCTACACAAAGAACAGGGATGCAACCTAACTGCAAAACATCAAATTATGGTAAAATTCAGCATGCCCCCCTGAACCCCCCACTCCCCTCCATATTTTTTTAGGCCAGCTCGGCTCTATTATTATTATTTCTCCGAACGTTCGGGAAAATAAACTTGAACTCACTCTATTTCTTTCTCTGAACGGTTTCCGTTCTCGAGATTTGTTGATAATTTAAGCGAATGGAGTGGCCCGTGTGTGTGTGTATGTGGGAGTGTGCATATATATATTATATGTGTATATAATATATATATATGTGTGTGTGTGTGTAAGGCAAGGTGTGAACGGATTGGGGGGGGGAGGTTTACATGAAGGATGAAATGAAGTGACTATTTCTCCGATTGTTCGGGAAAATAAAGCTGAACTCTATTTCTCCGAACGGTTTCCGACCTCGAGATTTTTTGGGTTATTTGCGAGATTTAGGCGTCATCTTTTCATTCTGCCACTCTGCGAGGACTAAGAAGAAGCATTTTTTGCCCCAAATTCAATTTCTAGAGGGCCACCTCTATTCTCACCCGGGGTGAGAATAGTGCAGGCGAGTCTTTTGGCTATTCTCACCCGGTGTGCGTTCACCGTTATAGCCTAGATCTAGGCCAACAAATTTTGCGTTCAGTTCACCCTAAACCACAGAATTCTACACTGTGATAACAGAAAAATTGTAGAATTCTGTGGCGTGAACAAACGTTCCATTACAACTGTAGCCTACTAAAAGCGTACAATTTTGTCTGTGGGCAGTGGAGAGAGAGAGAGAGGAGTATCGCGAGAACTTCCGGTCAAAACAAAATGGCGACCCGCGTAGTTCGGCTCGATTTGAAAAGTCAAATAGACGTAGCATCTTTGTAGACAACCAAATTAATTTACTTTTGTGTTTTAACACCATTTTTTAACTTTGTTTTGGTCAATTTGATCGTCCACACCGATTGACAGTATTCAGAAAGAGACAGAGAGAGAGAGAGAGAGGGGGGAGGAGTAGATCTTGCGAGAACTTCCGGGCAAAACAAAATGGCGACCCGCGTAGTTCGGCTCGATTCGAACAGTGAAATAGCCATAGCGTCTTTGAAGACTATCAAATTAGCTTACTTTTGTGCTATAACGTAATTTTTTCTTGGCTTTTATCAATTTGATCATCCACACCGATAGACAGTATTCCAAGAGGAAAAGCAGGTCTTGTTTCGCACCGGGTGAGAATAGCCTACGCTGGCAAGTCTCACCCGGGGTGAGAGGTAGATCGTTTTTCTATTCTCACCCCGGATGAGAATAGCCACTTCCTTTCTAGAGCTAGATCTAGAGATTTTTAAATGTCTGAATATTCCGATACTTCATTCGTGGTTGGGGCAATATTCCCGGACATTCTTCATTTGAAAATACCTTCAAAAGGTAGACTACTGAGAGAAAACAAGACTGCTCGACCTTGGCAGTAACCTATTTTGCATATATTTGGCCGTCGTTATTCGGACTCGAGTCCGGAAAAAAGGAAGTGTCTTCGTTCTATAGATCTAACGTTCAGTGCTTCCAATTTTCCGCCATTTTTTAGTTTCCCCCACACCTTATCTGCCAATCAAATGCCCGCCGCCTCATTGATACGCCCCCCACCCCCCATGTTTCCCACTTTCTTTGTTACAGAAAAAGGTAAAATTGAAGATAACAGACCACCTGGCACCTACACATTATGAGCTGTGTATAAAAAAGACCGATTCGTTCAAATACACAAGCCTGTGTCATCTCGATTGTTTACCAAGAAAAAGGTGTGTTGCTGTGTAGAGCCGAGCATACGGCAACTTTTGATTCCATAGACCAGCGCGCAATTCATTACGTAGATCTACATCTAGACTAGCTTATCATTGTAATAATGATCAGTTGCCGGGGGATAAAAGACAGGTGCGTATGCGACGTTCAACGCCCGAACCGATAGTGCCCCCTCCCCGACACGCACACACAGCGACACGTGTGCAGGCCGCCCTTCCGACCCCGACATACGCTAACGAGCCATCTTTAATTGCTTCTGGTGACCTCTTGACAAATAAACATTTATTAGAAGCGCTATAACTTTTCAGGCCGGCCTCAAATTCAGCGTAAGATAAAAACTCGGTCCTGCACAAAACGCCATTTTGCCCAAAGTGATCCCGGTCTCTACCCAGCCTGAGACGAGACACGAGTGAGGCAGGACAGGAAGCCGGAGTCACGAGTCACAGGAAGTCGTAAGTCGGAAATTATGTCATGCTGGACAAGAATCAGAGTCCGAATAACATTTTTTCATATTCGGACTCGGGTCCGAATAGTCACTTCGTTTGCATTTAGTCACCCAGCAAAAACTAAAATCCTTCAGGTAAAAATAAATCCCTCCACGCCCCCCCCCCCCCAATCTGTTCACATCTCACACACACACACACACACACACACAAACACACACACACACGGGCCACTCCATTCGCTTATTATCAACAAATCTCGAGAGCGGAAACCCTTCCGGAGAAATAGAGTTCATGTTTATTTTCCCGAACGTTTGGAGAAATAGAGCCAGCCTTTAGTTTTTGCTGTGTGACTAAATGCAAAATAGGTTAATTACTGCCAAGGTCGAGCAGTCTTGTTTTCTCGCAATGCCTTTTGAAGGTATTTTCAAATGAAAAAAGTATAGTCCGGGAACGTTGCCCCAACCACAACTGAAATATCTGAATATTCAGACATTTAAAAATATCTAGATCTAGATCTAGCTCTATAAATTGAATTCGATGCAAAAAATGCTTCTTCCTAGTCCTAATAGAATGGCAGAGTGAAAGGATGATGCCCAAATCTCGCAAATAACCCAAAAAATCTCGAGATCAGAAACCGTTTGGAGAAATAGAGTGCAACTTTATTTTCCCGAACGTTCGGAGAAATAGTCACTTCGTATTTTTTAGGCCGGCCCTATTTCTTTAAACGCTCGGGAAAAACTTGAACTCTAGAATCTAGGACCATTTCTCCGAACGGTTTCCGTTCTCGAGATTTGTTGATAATAATTGTGAATGGAGTGGCCCGTGTGTGTGTTTGTGTGGATGTGTGTGTGTGAGTGAGTGTGTGTGCGTGAGTGTGAGTGTGTGTGTAAGGTGTGCGGAGGGGAGGTGGAGGGATTTTTTATTTGTTTACATGAGGGATTTTAGTTTTTGCTGGGTGACTAATGCAAAATAGGTTACTGCCAAGGTCGATCAGTTTTGTTTTCTCACAGTACCTTTTGAAGGCATTTTCAAATGAAGTGTAGTCCGGGAACATTGCGCCAACCATGACTGTCAAGTATCTGAATATTCAGACATTTAAAAATCTCTAGCTCTAGAAGTTGAATTTGATGCAAAAGATGCTTCTTCTCTGTCCTCGCAGAATGACAGAATGAAAGATGACGCCTAAATCTCACAAATAACAAAAAAATCTCGAGAACGGAAATCGTTGGAAGAAATAGAGTTCAAGATTTTATCCCGAACGTTTGGAGAAATAGTCTCTTCGTAATATAATAGTAGGGCCAGGCAGTGGGCAACGGTATGGGAGGGGATATGCATCATGCACAAAAAAAAGGGGGTGAAGGTGGTGGGACGAGCCTGGGGAAGTAAGATGGAGAAAGAAAAAGTAAGAGAAAGAGAGAGAGGAAAAGTAAGAGAGAGAGGGGAGGAGGGGCTGTCTTATAAGGACTGATTATGAATTTTATGTTTTGATCCCTTTGTAGTCATGAAACGCAGTGTAATAGCTTACCACTGGTTTAAAGTCCGAATATAGCAACAGGAGACTATTCGGACTCGAGTATAGACCTCGCTTACAGTACAACCGGTGATTTCGCACACACACTGGACTTTGAGTCTGAATAGCTTCCGTCGGCTGTTCGGACTCCAGTCCGAATAGCCTCTTCGTTAATACACATGTAAACACGGTGGGTCCACCAAAGTTCAATCCGGCCAAAATAATACAGTGGGTGTCGCATTCAACGAGAAGTCGGCTCCAATGAAGCAATCCTTAATCCCAGATTTTTTCCTCTTTATCTCTTTGTAAATGTACGTCAGCTCCAACGAAGTTGCACACAGACCCAAGTCGCTTTCAACGAGGTCACGATAACCAAATAAAAAAGCAATTAGGGGCCCCAAAAGCCAAGAATTTTTTTTCCTTTCTCTCCATCTCAGGCGAAGCACAAGGCCCATCCTCGATTCCCAACACGTTGTATCGCTAGATCTAGTGTGCCTCCTAACATTATGGGCCCCAAAGTCAAGAGGATGGGTGAGGGTTGGCCTACAATAGGGATGGAACGGGGTGGGTGGGAACGCGATGCAGGCTCTGTGAAACTGGATCAACTCTGGATGGAGGTATCTAGATCGAGACCTTTTTTTTCAATTTTCAGAAAATCCAAGCTCCCGCCTTTACATTATGTGGATCTAAGCCTAGAAGTGAGAAGTTATGCTTCCACACGAAAAGTGTTCCCGAAAAAAATGTTTTTAAACATGATGTAGAAATGACGGTCAGAACACAGCTCAATCATGCACACACTGATGCTGTTTGAGATTTTCGTCATCAGGGAGAACAACTGTTTTAATTACTGGTATTGGTACATGTACATGGTTTAATATAAAATAATGATTTTTAATAACTTGTCTCCTTTCTTTTCTTTAGCCTTAGTCACGTTCAACGAGAGGTCGAATCCAACGAGGACAACAAGCCGGTCCCGGCAACCTCGCTGAATGCGACACCCACTGTACAAAAAAGGCCGAACGTTCGGGAAAATAAACTTGGAACTCTATTTCTCCTAACAGGTTCCATTCTGGAGATTTTTTGGTTATTTACGAGACTTAGGCGTGGTCTTTCATTCTGCCATTCCACAAGGACTGGGAAGAAGCATTTTTTGCATCGCATTCAATTTCTAGAGCTTGATCTAGATCTAGAGATTTTTAAATGTCTGAATATTCAGTTGTGGTTAGGGCAACGTTCCCGGAGTATACTTCATTTGAAAATGCCTTCAAAAGGTACCGTGAGAAAACAAGACTGATCGACCTTGTCAGTAACCTATTTTGCATTTAGTGACCCAGTAAAAACTAAAGTCTTTCCTGTAAACAAACAAAAAAATCCCTGTCTTGCTTCGATCACCTCACTTACAAACTACACACTCTTACACCCAAAAATAATAGGTTACAACAAAAAATACACCCTTTAAATGAAACCGGGAAAAATATCATGTTCACGTGGCTACCTAGCCATGTGGGCGTCCGAGGAAACAAGCAGGTGGATCTCCTGGCAAAGGAATCCTTGTCCCTTCTGTTAGGATCAACAACGAACACTCTTCCACAAACTGACTTTAAAAATAAAGTAAAAAACTACACCACCAGTCTGTGAGAGACCCTTTGGAAAAAAACAAACCAACAACAAACCACACAACATTAAGCCTAAACTGGGTCCACAAAAACCTTCAGGCCTCTCCAGAAGAGATGAAGTCATTTTTACTCAGTTACGCTTCGGACACATGTCCCTGATACATAAATGCCTCCTTCAGGGAGATGAGAAGCTGTTTGTGTCCGATGCGACACAGATTATACCATTTTAACAGAATGTCTAGACTTTGGAGAGACCCGAAGGTAATATTTTAGATGCAAAAAATTGCAAGATCTGTTTTCCGTCGTTGATCCCAACAGAATCCTTGATTTTAGAAAGGCCATTGGCCTTTACGGAAAATTGTAAACAGTGGAGTCCACTTATAACGAGTCCGGAAAAAACGAGGTCTGTTATAAAGACACTATTCTAAAACCCTGTTTTTTTTTCTCTTCTTTATCTTTGTAAATAAAATACTGCTATAGCGCAGTCAGACAAACACGTGAGTCGGTTATAGCGGAATATTCCTGCTGCTGTGCACAGCGTATAGGCCAATTATAATATATGTAAAACCTCGCCAGTTGAGAAACTTGTTGGTGATCTAGTGAAACAAAGAATGGGAGAGCCCATGTGTGTCAACAATGAAGGCCAGAGCGACTGAGTGGGGAGGATGTAGCATGCGCAGATAAGCAGAACGCATCGCTTGATAGGCCAGCGTAAGCCTAGTTTAGATTATCAAGGCCTACCATGCCTGTCACTTCTCCGATACAGGGATGGAGAGGTCACAGCAATGTGATGGGTGGAGCAAATGTGTGACGTGCGCAAGCTGACGGAATGCACCAGAGGATGTGGTGGGGTGGGGGAAAACACAAAGGGCGAGTTAGCCCAGAGCCTAGACGGTCAGAGAATAGTATAGCCCAGAGCCCTTTCTTTCAGATCGCCAACGCCGAGCTGCTAGTGAACATCACTAGATCTAGCACTAGAGAAAGAAACCTGATTCGATTTTTGATCAAGTAAGACCTAGAGGTCATGTTGAATCAAAATTATCATCAGGGAAGATAGTAGGGTTGGATCGGGCTTGCAAAATTAGCGTCCGCGAGTAACAAACTACCCGCTGGCACTACCCGCAAACGAGCGGACGGGTAACGAACCGTCCGTTTGTGAAGAGTAGTTCGCTACTCGCTACACATCGGACAGAGACACAGTTCGTTTAGCGAGCCGGCGGACCGAGAGACTCCATGTATTCGAGCGGGCGGACGGACGGGAACGACTCCTTCCAATGTCTACAACTTGCACCCCCCCCCCCAAAAAAAAATTAAAAAATTAAAAAATCACCCTCCTGTCCCACATTGTAGCAAGGCGTTCATGGCTCATGGCGGATATTTCCGCCCCCCGGCCTTTGAGATAATTAAAACGTACACAGTGTGCCCCACGCATGAGGTGAAAGGTTACACTCATAGTACTACGTCACCAGCCTCTCTCACTATCTGTGGCACCGCTAGTGGTTTGAAACATCAGGCCTAATTAACAAACAATAGAGACGGGTCTAATCTCGCGTCGAGTATCTCGTCTGCTAGAGTTCGTCCGTTAGCCCGCCCGCCCAGTGAATAAAATTGTGGAGCGGACCCCAAAAAACGAACTGACTTGAGGCTTGAGGTCCGCAGTCCGCTCGCTGAGAGAGTCAAATTGTGGAGCGGACCCAAAAAAACGAACTGTCTTGAGGTTCGCAGTTCGCTCTCATGGCCGTCCGTTACCCGTTCGCTCTGACTGAGTCCGCGAGTAACGAACCCGTCCGTCCGCTCGCCCCAACCCTAGAAGATAGCAAAAGGAAATAAACAGAAGACCAAACTCATAGATTAGGCCTACTTTACAGTTTCCTTTGAATTTATTACTGGATCCCTTATAGCGAGAATCCTGCTATAACAGCCATTTTGCTCCGATCCCCTCCCTCTCGTTATAACAGGATTCCACTGTACAGTTATTTTGAATTTAAACAGGTTATTATTTTTTAGATTGTTGTTTTACCTCAAGTTTTTAATATTTTAAAATCTGAACGTTGACCCAAGCCAAGCCATGCAGTGAACTGTTGTGAATGTATCCAACTTGTGTTTCGTGCACTCATATGACCGTATGCAGTTGCGAGCTCCTTAATACTTACTAAAACTATGTATGGTATAAAATTGAAATTAGAAATATGGGGAGTTTGTGGAGGCGAATTTAGTTAGTCTCATGGAGGTTGACTAGACATAATTTGAAATGCACAGTTGATAAAAATGATTATGATAAAATAATACTTGTATCTCTATTTAGCACAAATTCGTGGTCTATAGCATGCTCTGTATGTTTTACAACTATTCGTGAGCGCACATACATCTGCATCTGTGGTACGTCTAGCACCCACAGTCCAATTTTCATTCGGTCTTTTATTCCCGTAACAAATTTCACCACCCTACAAGCAGACAATATGACATGCTTGACCACCAATATTAAATAATAACACGGCCGTCAATGTTTGACAATGACCAGTACATCCGCAGAGGAGAATATTTCTCTTGCAAAATAGAAGAATTTGAAGAACTTTTATTGCTCTGTTACTTAATTTCATCCTTTGAACAAACTGATGTCAAATTCAATTTAAAAAACGGGGAGTTTCTGTGCTAAAATAAAATCATAATAACTTAAAAATCTACTAGGCTTATTCATATCCTCATATGTTCTGGGCATTGCAGACTGAGAGACCTGAGGATTTGAGCCTTCAAAATGTCAAGTCCACAAGATATACCTGAGACTCAAGCACGGAATAATGCTCAGATCTCAAATTCACCAAGTGCACATGGCTTTTTGCTTCCAAGTCCTGTTCCAACGAGGAGGACACGGACGAAATCAATGTAAGTACAGTTGTCCCAGGCCAGAACAGGACCATCGGGACTGTGGTGATGTCCCTGATATAAACGGGGATCAGGTTTATACACTGTAATTAATGATAAACCAGTATGATCACTTTTTTAAAACGTAGATTGCCCTCTCCAATTTATGACTTATTGTTACTTTCTTTTTCAGTAATATTTTTTTCGCCTCATCTCTATTTTCTTTTTTTGTCAGTATTTTATTTAGTCTCATGGAGGTTGACTAGATCTAGACATAATTTGAGATGCACAGTTGATAAAAATAATTATGATAATAATACTTGCATGTCTATTTAGCACAAATTCATGGTCTATAGCATGCTCTGTGTGTTTTACAACTATTTGTGAGTGCACATACATCTGTGGTACGTCTAGCACCCACAGTCCAATTTTCATTCGGTTATTTATTCCCGTAACAAATTTATTATAAGCTTGCTGTAGTGATAATATTCAAAATCTTGTTATAAATGAAACTGATATAAGTGGGACTCACTGTAACTGATGCTATTTTGCAAATTGCTCTTTATTGTCTCATTTGTTTTTCTAAAAATGCATCACTTGTTTGGTACTAAATTGATGTTTTCCTTAATAATTCAAGCATCTATGTTAACTAAAAATAATCTTTCTTTTTTGTTGTTGAGCCTGATCATTATTAGCTTGACTTCTTTTCAAGTTCGATGTTGACAATTAAGATGTTCAGGATTTTTGTAAGAGCTCTGTTACATACATCTAGTCGTTTGAATTTAAAAAAATATCTTTAAACTTAATTTTGACATGCATTATGATATTAGATCTATATGTCATTTTTGGGTGGGTTTTTTTTTTTTTTCATAATCAGGTCAGAAAGAGCTGCTGAAGGGCCAACGTACAAAGGCACAGTGAAGATGTTTTGTCGGCAGAGGGGTCATGGCTTCCTTCATCCTGATGATGGAGAGAAGGCAGACATCTTTGTACACATTTCTGAGTAAGTGTTGACACAGGTCTTTCATGATTGTCACTGATCACCTTTTTTCATGTAAAAAACAATGTGTATGAAGCAGAAGTTACGAAATTTTTTGAAAGCTGTTGTGAAGAATTACCGCAAAATTGTGTGTTCATTTATAAGTATAAGTATAAGACAGATCGAAAATTAACAGAGGATATTGATTTCAATATCAATTCTGTTCGATGTTGGGATTTTAACATTTTAGATTTTCCAGTTGGCTCTTTGTCAGTGTCAGGGATGTCCATGTTCTTTCAGCTTTCCAAGTGTCATGGATTCTCAATCATAAATCCACTGTTGTTGTCTCAAGTGTAATGGGGTTTATGTAGTTGTCTTTTGGATATCTGTATAAGAAGGTTGGCTTGGAGTTGGGGATTATTGTAAAATGCGTTTACTGGTTAGTAGCTGATGATTTGATTGTCCAGCCTGGGGTATGTGGAGCAGTGCCTAGGACCAGTCAACCTACATGCACTAAACACTTCATCCAAACATCAATCATCGCTGCCTACGTGACTTGTCTTGCATACAGTGACAGTTGATACTCAGGTGGTTACATCATGCTACATTACGAGCACAGACAGTGAATTGCAACGAAGAGCCTATGTGCATGGTGCAGGGCTTTCTTTTTTGTGTGTGTGTTTTTTCATATGTGTGTGTGTTTGAAGAAAGGAAGGGAGACGTGTTCTCACTTGGGGACAGGAGAGTCGCTCCTATCGGCTTATCGACGAAATGACAAGTGTAGCATGGTTTGATGGTTGAGCCGCCACGTTTTCCTCCAAGCTGGAGGAGTTACCATTTTCTCACTATTACTGAAATTTCTAATTACTAGCCTAGTTACTCCAGTATACATTATATAGTTCAAATGAGTGAATGAAGAAAACTGTTGTACTTTAAACCCCAGAGATGGGGAATTAAATTGTCTCGCTAATCTCAGGTTGTTGATATTCCAGTTGTTGTAAATGGATTCCACTGTATGTTTATTCTTTTTCTTCCAAATTTGATGTGTTTGGGTTTTTTTTAGTTATAAGTAAAGTAATTTAAGCATACAATTGTTTTATATTGATCTACTATATCTGCTGACTCTCTCCTGTATTTGTGTGTTTAGTTAGTAGGTAGTCCAAATGAAATTTTTTTTTATTGTTTTAAATTGAAAATGCTCATTTATTTAGGTTCCGCTTTTCAAATAAGGAAAAATGAAAACAACAACAAACAAAACAAACCCAGATCAAATTACCTTTATGAGTAATAAATGTACAAGCATTTAAAGATTTTTTGACTGAAAATTTTCAAGCACTTTTTCAAAAATGGGAAATCAGCCCTCATTACACTTGTATTATATTACACAAAAGAAAATGACTAAAAGCTTCAAATAGTCAAATTTTCCCCTCCATGTTGCAAGACATTGTATTAAATTTAAAAAATAATCACAAAATTGTAAACCAACCTTTTCACACTGCATCTTTCATGCATTCCCAAAGAATGCCAGTATTTCATGTGCACTTTTCCCTGGATACGCCAGATTTTGGGGTATTTTCAAAGCAATGAATCTTCACTGTTAAAAGTCATAGATGTTGTTTTTTTTGGTGGTGGGGGGGGGGGGGGGGGGGGGGGGGGGGACATTTCTCATTCTAATGCACAGTAGAATTGTAAATGGGCTGATCCAACAATGTCATGCTCATAACTGTGCCTGAACTACAACAGGGAACTGCTGCTTTTTCTTTCCTAGTCCTTACTATCGTCATTTTCCTCTACTTTTTTTGTATGTTTGTCACACTCTTGTGACCCGCTATTTCCGGGGTGCCTTGATAGTCGAAGCAGACTTTGTGCCGTTGAAGCTAGAGCGGTGAGCAGAGTAAATCTGATTCCCTGTAAGGATTTCTCTGTTGACATCCACCCCTTGGCACTCATATGACCTAATGCAGTTGCGAGCGCCGCAAAACTTCTACTAAAACAAAACAAAAAAGAAAAAAAGTCAGGTGGTGATTTATTGCACGGTTCGCTTTGGTTCTCTCCATATTTTGCTCATGATTCATTTTTTGATGCTCTACAAACTCTTTTGCTGTTCCTTCTTGCTAGTCTGTATTGCGTGTAGTTGTTTTCGTCCTTGGATTTTACTGATTTCTGAAAAAGATTCTTCTTTTCTTTGGTGGCCTCTTTGACGCTGTCATTCCTCCATGGTGTTCCTTTAATGGATCCTGTAATCCTCTCCCAATTCTCTTCTTTCCGCATACCTTTATCGGTGTCTCTGTTAGCAAGGTTTTAAAGAGGGCCCATATTTCTTCAACGTTCATTGCACTGGCGTCTTGGTTTTCTAGTCCCTTTGTGATCTCGTCCTCAACTTTCTGCACATTACCCTCTTCATTGAGTTTTTAAAAATTCATTTTCTCTGAATGTTTCTTCTTCTGTTTTCGAATGGGTTTTTTTTTTCTCCTTACTCGTCATCATCACTGGTCGGTGATCTGTACCAAAGGTGATGTTTGGGATTGATCTTGCATCAGTCGTTTTTGTTCTGTGGGCAATTCGTCTTAGTATGAAGTCAATCTGTGAGGAAATTTTCAGATTGTTACATTTGTACCACGACTGAGTTTGACTTGCCCTGTGCTTGTAAAAAGTATTTGTGATGTATAATTCATACTCTGCACTGAGAGCTAATAGTGGGTGGTTGGCGGGCGCTGTGGTGTGGTTTGCTCCTTCTTTCCTATCGAACATCTATCGTGCTTATCTCCCCTTTTTATTTTTTATGTTTGTTACTTCTGGCGCTCATATGACCTTATATAGTTGCGGGCACCTTAAAACCTCTACTAAAACTAATAAAACTAAAGAGGGCTAATAGTTGTTCCCCATTATAGTTACAACCTGAATTGGTTTCACTGTGTGGTATAAAACAACAGTATCATATCAGAAATCTGTTACATAACTGTTTGACTTTTTAGAACACATGAAAATATGATTTTTCCCCTCTGCTTTCCACAGTATTGAAGGCGAATGGGTGCCTAAGGAAGGAGATCAAGTGACATACAAGACTGTTCATATTCCACCGAAGATGGAGAAGCTGCAAGCTGTTCATGTGCAAATTACACACTTGAAGCCTGGTGTGAAGCATGAGCGTTGGGATTCTCCTACACCTGCTTCACCAGAAAAATATGGATCACAGTAAACCATTTTTGACATGTTTTGGTTAGTTACTTATGCAGGGCTGCCTATTTCTACCGATTTTTGATTTGTTCAACTGCCAAACCGATAAAGGTGCCTTTACTACCCAATTTACGACAGGCGCCTAGATTTTTAAAAAGAATTGAATCATTTTCTTTTGTGTGTCCCCAACAGGTGGTGGATCTTTTTGTTGACCTATTTTACGCCTCTGTTGGGGTGGCTCTTAACTTTGGTGAACATTCAGGTCTGAAGTTTACAGTGGAATTTAAAGTGGTCGATGACAGGGTGACTGCCAGGCCGCAGGGACCTGGGATTTGAATAAGTTGCTGAGTCAGTGGGAACAACCTGAGAATTCAGAGAAGTCTCTAATTATTAATGCGTAAAAGAAATTTTTGTTCTTTAAACTTTAAATTATACTTGTCCTATCACGGTTAGTTCAATTTTGGCCAATTGTGTTTGCAATGTCAGGCTGCATGTCCACAGCACCCATACAGACCTAACTTTTTATGGGCCAGAAAAAATATGTCCAGATAAATGCGGCTATGCCATGTCCACATGTTCCGTACATTTTTGCTCTTTTCAGAACAGTTACAAACTGTAGCGTGGTCAAATTACATCGTGGTGCTAACAAGGAATTGCAAAATATTTTACTACAGTGGTACAGAAATAAATCTTTTGGATCAAGATGCAGTGACTGGATTCACCGAAGAAGCAAAGATTACAGAATATATACACCCAAACGTACACCCAAACACACACTCATGTTTTTGGCCAAAATACATGTCATTGACTGAGAATCTACCTGAAATGGGGAATTTGATGTAGGCAGCCCTGTATGTATAACATCATGTACGCATTACTCTTGCATGTTAATGGAGCATTGTTGATGTAATATGGGTATGTTAAAGTGGACTGACTCATTCGAAAGTATTGGGGGTTGGGGGGAGGATGCACATAAAATAATATGATAACAAATAACTTTACATTTAAAGCTCCATCCCGTAAGAGGAAATAAACTCTGAGAACTGTACATTCATTACAAGTATACAGTGCACAAGCACAAAAAATACATTTTGTGAAGTGAGAAAAAATGATAGTATTACAAATGATCATTATAATATATGTCTTTTAAAAAAAAGTGTTTTCAAAAACTCAACTTTTTCTATATTTCTGTCAGTTTTTGTTGGAGCGTGTTCCAGGTTTTGGGTCCAGCAAACGCAAAAGTCTTTCAACGTGATAATAGAGGGTTCAAGAGAATCTCTCATCTTATAACTGGGACCAGGATTGCCAAACATTTTTGTAAATAGATATAGGATATTTTGAGACTTCTTGCAACAATTTTTGTCTGCGTATTTATATATTTAGTTTCCTCTTTGGTTTTGGCAAACAATTTAGTAGTGATTACATTGACTAGGTGGCATGTGTAATGGAGCATGGAAGGCAAGAGATTTGTCCCATGAATGTTGTAGTTTGTAAGAAGGGGTTTCAGTATTCAATAATGTGTCATGATTTAAGTCTGCTTGAAGCTTGAGATCATACAATGATGGCTTTTGCATTGTTAAAAAAAAAGAAAGAGGACTGGTATTATGGAGTGGCACCAACATTATGCACCTGTTAACTACCCTCAGGGGCTCTCATGGCCCAAAGGTTAAGGTGTTTGTCTCTCATTCAAAGGTCCCGGGTTCGAATCCGGGCAGCGACAGAAAATTTTCTTGTCTAAGATTGTCTCCTTTCACCTTCTTTCCTCCTCTCTTTCAATATTCTGGCGTCTACTTTCGTCTCCACTTTTTCCCCCCACCCCCTCACCTCCTTTGCCTCCTACACTGGACTCTTTCTGCAGCCTTTCTACTGTTACTCCTTGGCTCCTGCTTACTGCTGTCTTTCAGCCACACCCCTGATCTTCTGGTAGGAAAGATCTACACCTAACCTTCTCGGAGGTCCCGTGTGCAAGTTAAGCATGTTAAAAATCCATTGGTGGTCCAAAATGGATAAGAGTAGACTTTGGCCGCCACCTGTGCTAAATTCAAAATTTCGTACTCATTGGACATGTTTGGTGTGTCCCGCCACTCATATTACCTTATGTAGTTGCGAGCGCCGTAAAACACTTACCAACAAAAAAAAAATAGTAATAACTACCCTCTTACTGGCAGCTAGTTGCACTTAATTGACTTTACAAGTCATACATTCAACTGTCTCAAAAGTGAGTAGTCTATTATATTTGTCAGTTATTACTGGATGAAAAATTTGTCTGCCAGACCCGTCCATGTTAAAAAAAATTTTCTTTTTTTTTTTCTTTTTAAGGGTGGGGATGGGGGAGGTTATTGGGACTTTTTTGACAATTCCTTGTCTCATTGATCACAGACTCCTTAGGATCTGCCAAGCTAAAGCACTGTGTAGATGAATGATAATAATCACCTACCACTGGAGCTAACTCCACCAATTTTTTTAAACCTAAAGTGCTCAGAAACCGAATGACATGAAAAAATTCAGACAACATTAAAAATCAAAGTGAAGTCTAGACTATCTGTAGTGGTGTACCTTACAGTAATAGGCATTTGTTTCATGACGTGGTGGAATCAGGTGCTCGTCATTTTCGGGCATGTGGAGTCATTGGTATCGTCTTAAAGCTTGTTCAGTTGTCTTGTTATCAATGGAAGAAGTGCCCATCTATCTTGAATAGGAATCAAGGTATTTGAGATGGAAGAAAGTGGGGTCGCCTGGTTTCAAATGTAGATTTGCGAGAAAATGACCGCCAAAGTTTGGATATTTTCAGAGCTTGATAGTCCATGGAAACTGAAAACTTCATTTTTTTGTGCCTTTAATCAACGTTTTTCAGTAAAAATCCACCCACAGATGTGTTCTTAACTGGACTACAATGGTGTTACGGCAAAAAACAAAAATTAGATAAAAATTGCCAAACTGGCAGATAAAAGCCAGTTTCTTCTATTTCATTATTTTGACTGATTTGACCACGCTGCCTCACATTTATTTTTCAGGCCTGCCAACCTTCCCGATTTTGTCGGGAATTTCCCGAATCTGATGCCCTGCTCCCGACTTTCCGATAACAGTCTTGATTTCCTCTATTTCGGAGCTGCGCTATATTATAATATTACAGTGGAATCCTGTTATAACGAGAGGGTGGGGACCTGTGCGAAACATCCATTATAACAGGATTCTCGTTATAAGGGATCTGGTAATAAATTTAACGGAAATAGTACAGTGCGCCGAATCTATGAGTCTGGTTTTCTGTTTGTTTCTTTTTGTAATCTTCCCTGATGATGATTTGGTTCAACATGATCTCTTGGTCTTACTTGATCAAAAATCGAATAAGGTTTCTTTCTCTAGTGCTAGTAATGTTGACAGCTCGGCGTTGGCGTTCAGAAAGAAAGTTCTCCAGGCTAACTCATCCGCTGTGTTGTCCCCCCACCCTACCACACCCTGTGGTGTGTTCCATCTGCTTGCGCACGTCACACATTTGCTCCATCCATCCCATCACAGTCACATCGTTGTGACCTCTCCATCCCCACATCAGAGAAGTGAGAGGCGTGGTAGGCTAAGATAATCTAGACTAGGCTGACCTATCACGCGATGCATTCTGCTTGTCTGTGCATACCACATCATCCCCACTCATTCTCTCTGGTCTTCATCGTTGGCACACGTGGGCTCTCCCATTCTTTGTTTCGCAAGATCACCAACACATTTCTCAACTGGCAAGGTTTTGTATGAATAAATCAAAATGGCCTATGCGCTGTGCACAGCAGCAGCAATATTCTGCTATAGCCAACTCGCATGTTTGTCTGATTGTGCAATAGCAGTATTCTGTATTTTATTTACAAAGATAAAGAAGGGAAAAAAACGGGGTTTTAGAATAGTGTCTTTATAACAGACTTCTCGTTATTTCAGGACTCGCTATAAGTGGATTTCACTATATTACTATTATTTGAGTGAAAATGACAAATGAAATCGGTGATACCAGAATTCGTGTGTTACTAACATTTCCCGATCAGCCGTGTGTCATTTAGGCTACTGTTTGGCAGTTCGGCTATGTAAAATGCTTTTAAGTAAACCTGGATATATATAATATAAATATATGAATAAGTTGAGGGTGACGGCAATATGACCAAGCACGCATCACGCCGCGCTGATTTTCCCGATTTTGCATTTTCAAAAGTTGGCAGGCCTGATTTTTGCTATTTAGTGGCTTTTTTACTGATCATTTATCATAGAACTGAAGTCCATGACCATTTCGCCCAGGATGACACACTGAGAAATGGTGAGCAGAACATTTCACTTTCTCCACACCTTGATAAGGAAATGTTTGCTGTGTCCGTGGCTTGCACACTCTGAAATTCATGTGAACCATTGTGCTTCATATCTAATGTAATTTTGCATCAAAGAGAGTAGGAATGTGTCATTGGCAGTTTAGTGGTAAGAATCTTTGCCTATTGCAAGTGACATCGCTGTTCGATTCCCCTCCAGGAAGGGTTGTTTTTCTTAAGATTGAAAGAGAAGACTGAAAAAAAGTGAAGAAAGAAGATAGAGATATAGATGCTGATTAAGAAAAGTGGATCAGAAAGATGGACAGAGAGAAAATGAAATTGCTCAAAAATGTTTTTATAGTCTGCAATCTCTTCAATGGTAATTGAAATGTAATAATTAAATATTGTTTCTTTCGTAGAAGGGAGGATTGTACCAGTGATAATAATAATGATAGTTGCATTTATGTAGCACTTATCCCTGCTTTACTTTACAGTATACTCTATCCACGTTAAAACTGTTACTATTACTGTGCAGTGTCAAGCTGTCACTTTGTAAGGCAGCCTCAAACTGAAAATAGGCCTATGCTTGATTGTTTTTTTGTGTTCCCATTCCCAGTATGTTCTGAGCTGCACATCAATTGTATTTTAACACACCTTTTTTACAAAGAATTCTGTCAAAATGGCCACTTTAATAGTATTTTTTGTTGTTGCTACCTTTTGTTTATTATTTGTGAATGGATTCTGTAGATATAATATAGAGGTACACACAGGTCTCATCTGTTGTGATGTAGTGTAAGGTCACATTTTGCACATGTTATATGTGTCAGGATGCAGTGGAATCAGGCGCTCCTCAATTTTTGGGCATGTGCAGTAATTGGGATCATCTGAAAGTTTGTTCGTTTGCTTTGCTTTCAACAACAAAAAACCAACTCTGTCTATCTTGAATAGAAGTCAAGATATTTACGTTTGAAGCAGATGAGGTTGCCTGGTTTCAGTTGTAAAATTAACAAGAAAATGGCAGCCAAAGGATAGTAACTTCAATAGCTTGAGAGTCCTTGAAAACTTTTTTAAAAATACATATTTTGTGCCTTTACTCAACGTTTTTCAGTAAAATTCACATGAAAATGTGTATTATATGGACTTAAAAAGTGTTGAGCAGAAAAACAAAAATTTGATTTGCCAAAATGGAGGGAAAATGTATGTCCTTCAATTTCATTATTTTTTTACGAGCGCCTGATTTCACCACAATGCCTCACATATTCTTCTTCCATGTTTCTGAGAAAAATTAGTATTAACTCTTGTTCATCTCTCCTGTTTACTTCTGCCTGTCCTTGTAGGCCTACTTACTTATCTGTGTGTTTTTGGTCAGGCCTATGTAGTAGCCAATGTAGCTTTGAAATTGACTTATTTTTCTAGTTGTCCTGTTCCATTATAAATGTCTTGATACTAGATCTAGTTATTACTGTACAAAAAATAATCATAATTTGTTGCATGCGTAGTGGAGTGCTCTTGATTACGATATTGGCACAGTGTGATTATATGTTATGTGCCTTACTGACCTCAGGACATGGATCTAGAGGTATGGAATGGAAGGTTTAAGAAAACAACATGAAAAAAACAATGATAATCAATTTCATTTATAAAGCGCATTTCCACCTAGTCCATGCGTTTTACAATAATAGGAAGAACATGTTCACCATTCAGCACCAATAGTGATCCTTTCTCTCGATCTCTCACTCTGAGTCACTCTCTCTTCTCTAGTGCTGTTTTTTCTTGGCTGATCTTAAAGGCTAAGATGTTCGATGACCATGTTGCAAAGACATGCTGGTGCATTGTTGTTGACACACTTAAAACAGAGGACAGCCATCTTGTACTGAATATGTCCTTTCACAGAAAAGGACCTTTGAACTTTGAAATATATGACTGTTACTGTTACTATTAACAACTTCATGAAGAGAACAGAACAACATAAAAACCTAGCCATTCAATTCATAGGCTGATGCTAAAAAATGTCATTTTTATGAAGATTTTGAGTTGCACAAGTTTCCTTCCCTACACAAACTTTGTATGGTCCTTGCTCATGATTTGTAAAGATCACATTTTTCATTTGGACGGTAAACATAAATTATCAGACTTTCCAATGTTTAATACAAAGCAAGTTTTAGTCATGACATCCACTAATCTTGGAAAAAAACAACTTTTGTGAATCTTATGTGACACTTTCTTGGTAAACTTATATCTTGTCAAAATGGCAGCAGGTTCAGTCCTAGGTGTGTCCCTTTAGTTTTGGTTTATGTTTAAAAAGGTAAC